TTTTTTATATAATACTCTTTTATTCTTGATACTTTTTTATTTTTGTTTTATTAATATATTTATGATATTTTTTATTTATGTGATTTTATTGTTATTCATCTTGTAATTGTATTGAGCACGTATATTTAGCCTAGTTTCTTGCTTTTTATTTATTGCTTTCTATTTATCGTATATAATAAAAATAAAATAGAAAATTACATAAATTGTATTATTGGATTTGCGATAACTATTAGACAACATTAAAATATATTATAATGAATTATAACATATTATGTATAAAGTTATGTATAAAATTGTTTGAATAGTTATAATATTTTTCAGTGCCATCGATGCTTTTCGATTATATCTGTCTATAATAACAGAAATTGTGCTTTGGTATAAGTAACTTTTATGCTGTATAATATTCACGATAAATAATGCTTTCCGTAATATAAGTGTATATAATAAAGAAATCTTAGTACTTCAAGATTATAAGATAAAGAACGTTGACTAAAATACAGATGGATAAAATACAGATTAAAATATAGATTTTTAATGGGTCATATGATGTTATCTCTGAACGATTTCAATTGTATTATCGCATTTCAAAAAATAATAGTTGATAATAAATAATATTAATATGCAATTTGTTACATTCTTTTTGTAAATATTCCGAACATCTCTTGCAACGTATAAGATGTATAGTTATTATCAATAAGAAAATTTTTTTAAAAAATCGAGACATCTGAAGTAAGATTTAGCTCAAAGAAGTTTGTTTAAAAATATATAATATTAATTATATATTATGATTACATGTATACTTTATATGTTTATAATTTATGTTTACAACTATTTAATCTTACTGACAATTTGTAATTAAAAGATAATTATATAGTCATAGTCTCTATAATGTGTTAATTACTTAAAACATGAAAAATTGAAATAAAAAATTGAAATAGAAGGTGACAAATTTTTGTAAAAAACAAAATTTTAAATTTATATTCTTCTTTTAGAAAATCCAGGTGATAATATGAGATATATTACAAGGTCATAAATATATAAAGCACATCGCCTAAAATTTAACAATTTTATTTTTAGATGGTTTACTGGTCTCGTTTTTCTCCTTTTTATCTTCCTGCAAAGATTCCAGAGCAGAATCATCCATTTTCTCTACCGTAATAGTGCTCTCTTCCTTGGCATTCACTAAATCAGGGCAATCCTTTTTTAAGTGTGTCACGGCTCCGCAAATTTTACAACAACCTCCGTGAGGATAAACGCCTTTAGGATTATCGGGGCACTGCATAGCGATATGACCTTGCTCACGGCAGATGAAACATTTGGCATATCTATAATTAGAATCCTTGTTAACTTTGCACTCGAAATGAGTATGCTCAGTCGATCCACACTTGAAACAGATGCCTGTGCAGGCTTCACTGCGATCAAGCTCAGGACAATCTGATAGATTGTGTCCAGACTTGCGACAGTTAAAGCAAACGAATTTTCTGACACGTGCTAAGGTTTTCTCGGCTCTGCGTCTCTCCAGCTTCATTGCCATATCCACTTCGGATTTTGGTATACCTGAGTAATATAGATATAAATATTATACTTTAAAATTAAATATTGCTTTATCATGCGCAGTGAATCTATGGAGTTTGAAATTTAAATTCTTAAATAAATTTCTCAATTTTCATATTTAAAAGGTAAAAAAAAATCAAAATAATCTTTTTTAAATTCAACGAAAATTCTTAATAATCCCTTTAGATTTTGCCGATTCTTAAAAAATAATAAGAAATAAAAATTTTGTTGTATATAATATAATTGTTCACATTTACCTTTCATTATCATTTTCTGTTTAAGTTCCGTTAATCTGTCTGCATCTTCCTTTTTCACAGGAAATCCGTCATACATGACAATTTCGATTTCCATACCGTTGATTATTATTTTTGTGACGCCAGCGTCTGGTTTTCTTCTTTTATATTCTCCTTTTTTTTTATTCTTTCCTCTCTTGTACTATTACCTTTGCATGATGTATCCTTTTTGAATCTTTTGGATCCATCTTTGGACATTTCTAACTTCCTTTTTTGATTTCGTTTCTGTCGTTTGCTCATTATCATATAATTCGAATGTGCATTTTGTGAAATATTTGATTCTTGTTCAATGGATGTCAAATTTGAATTATCAATATCTTGTTCCTTTTTGTTAAAGAATTTAGTCGTTTTATCTATTATTTGTTGCTTTTTGTTGTTTGTTTTAATTTTTGCAACTTTTGTCTTTTGCGATTTTTCTATATTTTCCAACAATATATCATTTTCCAAATTTTTTGTAATATTTTTATTTGTTTTTGGATTCTCATGTTTCTTTCTTTTAGACTTATTATTAGATCTATTAGATCTATTATCTTCAAATTCTGCCCACTCTTGAGTGTTTTCAGTATTACTATTAAATGTTTCTTGATTTTTTAATAATTCTTTTGCTGACTTTTTCTTCTCTAAGGGTGTTTTATTTTTGTTCTCCTCCAACTGCTGTTTCATTATATGCCATGGCGTAGCCTCATTTGGTAATCTCTCATTCGACGCTTTGGAACCTTTTGCTCGTGCAAATCTGGTCATCTTTTCTTGCGAGTACTGAAACAGTAGAGAAATGTAATGATTTGAAAATTCTTTATTTGTTTAGGCACAGTTGTACCAATGTTATTTTGGATTTAAGCGAAACTTAAAATTTTTAATTTGTTGCATCAAAGCAAAAGTGAACTTACTTGAAGTAACATTTAAAGTACTTTAATTTATCTTATTAAGATTAGTGCAAATCAAAGTACTTTAGATTTTGTTTTAGTTTTGCTATAACATATTAAAAATTTCGATTAAAGCCAAAATATTGTTAGCATAATTGAGTCTTAGATTTACTAAAGAACTATTAGAAGTCTGAATCTTTCCCTTGAATTTATTGATTCAATTTTTGAAATATATACTTTAATACTTGAATTTTTGTAATATTAATGTATATAATGTATATAAAGTTCTAAATAATCCAAACTCTTTAAAATCTCTTAAATTAATGTTTTGACTATAGAATTCCTTTCGAGTCTCACGATATTAACGAATATTATTTTAAGTAACATAAAATTGAATAAATATAAAGTTATTTTATAAAAAGAAAATTTCATAAAACATCTTCATAAGACATCTTGTCTTCGTATAAAATGAAATTCATACTTGTTTTCAAAATTAATCAAACTTTTATTCACCAATTCTCAACGGAGTATTTACAGCGTATCTTTTCACGTGGAGCACAATTTGGAGGTTAGGAAACCAAAAGATCTTTAATATAGGGAATTTTATGTATTTTGAAGATGGAACTGTGAATTGACTTTGCCGCGAGGTGAGCCACGTTCGAAAAACGATTGGTTCATCAATGTTTGAGACCAATCTGATTGGTACAATCAGAAACGCGTACTTTCGGTCTTGCTCGAGGCCGAACGCGATTGTTGACATTTAATACAAATACATTTTTGACGTACACTTGACATGCTCTGTAAATGAGGAACGTGTTTACTCACGAATATTTTCTATTCTACATGCTGTGTTCGAATTGAATCACTTTCCTCTCGAAAAATGGCGGAATTCGTGGAGAAACGGTGCCAGGAAATGATCCCCGTGTTGGAGCAGATGGAGAAGCTCAAGCTCTTTGATGGAAATGAGATTCAGTGAGTCGAATACGGGCCTAGATCATGCCTCAACTCCAAATCCACGAGTACTAACGTTCATTATTACATTTTTCAGGAACATTGCTGAAAAATTCAAGGAATACGAATACAAAATTCAACGATATACAAAGTGTAAGGAGGATTATCTTCGATATATACAGTATGAAATGGATTTGCTGAAGTTGATCAAGCAACGAAAGGATGTAAGTATTTTTTTTCTGTATTTCTTTCTTGTGTCTGGACCTTAAATATATTCTATAAACTTTCTAATATTTTATTTTGTGTTTTAGAAATATGGTATTACTCAGAAAAAAACAGACATTGATTTTGCCATAGTTAATAAGATGAATAACTTATACAAAGAAGCAATATCTAAATTTCAAGATGATATTAGGTTTTGGATTGCCTATATGAAATTCTGTAAGCATATGGTAAGTAATATAATAATAAGTAAATATGTGTCTGTCATCATATGCTGTATTTGTATAATTAATCCAATTATCGTTCGTTAGCATTTTCATAGCAATGTCACCGATATGTTAAGCAGGATGCTGCAGGTGCACAGAGATAAGCCGAAATGTTGGCATATAGCAGCATGCTGGGAATTAGAAGAGAATAATAATAAACAGAGTGCACGACAATATCTCTTTAGAGGCTTAAAAATTCATCCTAATTCTCAATTACTTTACATTGATGCCTTCAAGTAAGTGCAAAGTGTACGTTTTGATAAATTTCTTTTAATTTTAATTATTTAATAAAAACACCTATATTATTTTTCCTAGACTTGAACTAAATGATCACTTAACCATAACTTCTAATAATTTTAATGATACTGAGAGCCATAGAGACAACTCTGCATCAGCAGTGATGAACGACAGCGAGATGCCAGTTGCATTGGAAGCAGCATATTTTATATATCGACAGGCTTTTGAATATATCAAGGATATTAAGTTTATCATAGAGTTGCTCAATATCACAAAGAAATATAAAGATACCGACAGACTGCAGAAAAAAATCATTTGGTATATAGATATATGTGTTAGTATCATAATCGCACGTCTTCAAAGTAAAGTCAAAATTAAAAACATATTTAATCTGTAATTGTAGTGATATGATTCAGGAGTATACTCACGAATCCTTAATATTGGAGTGTACTCACGAACCCTTAATATGGGACATCATGGCGCGTCGTAAATTGCAAGGATTGGTACAGCCAGGTCTCAGTGACATCCCGATGGAAGTGGAGAATGTCAAGCAAACTTCATTAAAAGATCGCATCGCATCTTGTAACGAAATCTACCAAATGGCTTTGAAAAAAATCAAAACTGAAGAGATGTGGTCGCTTTATATAGATTGCTTATTGGAGATCAACAATCATTTAGAATCATTGCCGAATTTCAAAAAACTCTTGAAGACTGCTTTGATACAGGCTCATCAAGCGAAAAAATTAAATGAGAAATATTACTTATCTTGGGTTTGTACTCAGCAATATTTTATCTTGTTATCAGTTATGAACAAAATTGTAGACATATTATTTCCTTCTATATAAATAATTTTTATTATATACATTTATTTCATCAATATTTATTTGTTTTAATTAAAATACTTATTTGATCAGAATCTTTTAATTTGAAAAATGCTTTAAATCAATAGTTTTTTGTTTATGTTCTTGTCTTTCTCTTTAATATATAAAAACTTTTGCATTCCATAGATCGATTTGTTGAATGTCGACAAGGAAAACGACGAGAGTACGCTGAAAGAAGCGACCGATATTTGGCATATGCGGCTCAATTATTTGTTACGATGTGGCCAGGAGAAAAAAGCGTACGCTTTATATCCGAAGGTGATAAACTTTATAAATCATTAAGGTATGTTTGGTCTTGTCGATATTAAATTATTCTGTCAATCAGTTGACGCAATTACTGGGGGAAAAAGCGTTACCCTTGTGGAAACTGCGGATCTTGCATGCCCAGATAAGAAGTTCGGACGAAGTCGAAGAAAGCTTCCAAGCAGCTCTAAAATATCCGCTGATCGCTAAAGATATTAAGTTTGAATGGCTAGAATGGCTTGTCTTAACGAAAGGTAGTTGGATTAATATCATCACAGTTTATTTTGTTTTTTCTTTTACTTTTCATTAATTATCAAGATTAAGCGTTTATGTTTCTATTATCGATTTAATGAATCTCTTTCTCTGTGATATTTATCTGTTTATGCTCGATTGCTTTTATCCCAGGCATTGATGTGGCTCGCGAAACGTACAGTCTCTGCCTGCAACCACCTACCACATTAGAATTCTACAAAAAGATAGTCATGCTGGAACTCGTACAACCGGAGATTTCACTGGAATATATGCGACAACTTTATGACATGGCGATTCCGCAGTTTGGGACTAACAATACATCTGTCTGGTTAGATTATATGAAGTTCGAGATGAAGCACGGAGACCCGAAGAATGTCAATAGCATTCATGAACGTGCAGTCAAAATGTTAGATCCAAGCTTGGTAAATTCTTTCATAGAGGATTATAATCTAATTGTAGCGAAACCTGATGCTATACAATGATATCGATCATAAGCAGCAATTGGGTATTGTGTATATGCTGATTTATTTGTAATTAATAGAGTTTTGATAAATGTTTAGAATATACATTTCAAATATTTCGATGACAGTATGTTCATTCAACATTTTATGTTTAATATTTTACTAATTTTGAAAGGAACAACAAAATACACTTGAATTAAGGCACGTTTTGTCGACTATGCAAAGAAATAATTTTCTGCAAAACAAGCAGTGTTTGCATGACTTATGATTTTTTATATTATTTGAATATCAAAAGATATTGAATGAATGTATTTTCAAGATCTAAAATTAGACGTTCTAAAAATTTATATAAATTTACAGAATGATATAATGCAATACACCGAATGACTGCGAAAATATATAATGAAGATTTAAAATGAGATTATCTTTGTAATTCTCCTCTTATTTCAGTTATATTTAAGACGTTTCTCTGCTTCTCGAAGAATAAACAGCATAGGCGTAATTTTAATCGAAATTCACGATTAATTTATCAAACAATACTTTTATTATTTTTAAAATTTCTTATTTTTTAAGGCAATTCTGCTGATTATAGTCGGAATTTAATGGGAATCATTCTGATCTTCGCGGGAAATCATAATATTTTGATATCCAATAGGAAAATGTATAAACTAGGGATTCCAGTTAACGACTATTTTGTCTTTAGAATAGAAATTTTCCCATTGGAGCAGATGTTAAGTCGAATTTATTTTTAATATTCAAATATCTAATTTGATGCAAGAGAAAATAATAAAAAAAATATATATATATAAATTGTTCAATTTTGTAAATCAAATTATCGACTAAACGAGAAGAATTCGCATTCGTAAAATTCTTGATTAATAATATCCAATATGCGACAACCTATCTAGTGCGTGAATCTAATGCAGACGACGTGGGATGACAAGATGGCAGCACTGAGGAGATCCCGAGGAAGATATATGGAGATTTTCCCACCACCCGAGTTCGCCAGTCGCCATAGAACCCGCAGGAATTCATTCGTGGAGGTGCTCGATGAAATTCGGGTGAGTTGTTCATCCCAGTTGATACGTCCCGATACGTTACGAGGTTTATCGTACGACGTTCCTCGACATCGTGGATGCGTGCGTACCATAGGAATTACCGCCGTGACCGATCATCGCAGAAGGTCCGACCGAGGTTTTGCGGTTACATGAAGCAAGACCGACAGTCTCTCGTCGATCTCGTGGTGTCGTGCAACGGAAAAAAGGGATTACGCACTCTGACAGTTCGCGCGGACGTGTCGAGTCGATGTGTCACCCAACTTGACTCCTGACCGCGATCGGGAATCGAGTCGACGTCGCTGGCCGTGGCTACTTGGTCGCAACAAATTTCAAGATTGTCATTCGATTCTTAGCTTCTTAAGACGGCATATCTTCTTTGTTCGTAGGTACCACCTTACCACCTCCGTCGTTCCAGACAATGTCTGTCTCGCGTGACAGACGACGGATGGCTCAGAGCGACGTGGCTGAACCGATTTCTTCCACCGCCTGATCGAAGGATGAGAGAGTAAGATATTTTGAACCAAGTCACTATTTGCGGTCAAGATGAGTGGCGGATCCACGGGTGTAGCCGATCTGTTTTATTTGTTGGAATCGAATAAACTTGGGGAGGTCGAAGAGATCAAGAAAGTATTCCATGATCATTTGTTATGCAGTAAGTATGTCTCACATATGTCTACTGGCATTAGATATAATTTGATTGTTTTTAAATTACATTGGGTCATCCATAGCAAAGGACAACTGGTTGGTAAATGGATTGTTTGATTACTATCTCTCTACAAATTCCTTGAGGACAGCGGAAGTATTAGCGGGAGTAAGAGATCCGCATGATAAACACCTATTAGATCGTTTGTCAGATATTCTTTCAAAACCTGGCAATAGTAGGCAGAGAATACAGGCACTCACATTGCTTGGGCATATAGCCAGACGTCAGCCTACTTGGTTGTACAAGTTAGCCAGCCATGCGTTATTCAGAGATCTACTCAAATTACTCAAGGTAACATATTTCCTTGTTTTCTTCTCTCGTCAATTCATATATTCATTTATGTGTATACAGATAAAATGTTTACCATTAATTCATCAATCTTGTACAGATGTAATTCTTTTAATTTATTCTGATATGATCACGAGTTTCAGATGCGTATAATTTATACTGTATATACATAAATGTTATATATGCCAATGATTATTATGCTTGACATGCATTGATTAAGAACTTTATATTTAAAACATAATAATTGGATCTAAGAATAATTAAACATCGCAGAAAAGATGAAGTATATATACAGTTTTACAAGACTGTATTTTTCAAGGTGGAGGCAGATATATTACCGCTAATGAGTGCCCTTCTTCTGTTAGTAATGTTGTTACCAATGTTACCTGCTGCTCTAGGGCCATATCTACCAGAAATATTTGAGGTATTTGGCCGCTTGGCCTCTTATTATCATCATCATCAATCGTCCTTACTTTCTCCTTCTACCCCTTTTACTTCGACTACAGCACCAAATGTTATCGACAAGGACCATATGTACCTCATACATTTGCAGGTAAATACAGTCTACATTTAATAAAGTGTCAAAAGACACACAAACACACATTAACGAAAGATTATTTATCATGTAATTTGTTATAGGTAGGATTATACTGCTTATTTCATAGACTGTACGCGATGTATCCTTGCAATTTTATATCATACCTGAAACAACAGTATGTTCAGCGTGATCAATTGGCTACATTTACTCATACTATTAGACCCATGTTAGATTCTGTGCGTATGCACCCTTTACTCGTCACAGCATCCAAGGATGCAGAAATTTCAGCCACTAGGTATATATATTTTTATGTGTTATATATATTTTATTAGTATTTTTTAAATTGCTTATTGTTTATAATTATTTTTTTTTCATTGTAGGTGGAAAAAGATGGAACATCATGATATTGTGATAGAATGTAGCCGTTTTACATTAGACAAATGTCGAGAAGAAATCTTAGGCGTTAACTCTCGGTGCACGCCACCCCTGGGTCAGTATTATTTATTTTTGTACGTACATCTTTCTTTTCTCTAAAGAATGCAATAGGAAATAATGTTCATGGATCTGCAGATCAATCTTCCATCACTTGTGCGCCAATAAACATCTGCGGCGGAGTAACAACTACGGAAATTAGTAATGGAGAGGATGAAACATTTTGGTCACCGAGCATGACAGTGCCACCACATAGCCCACCGCAAAATGCATCTCATGAACCACGCTCTGCTCCGCCAACGCCTAATAACAATAGAAGCGGTACTTCCCCTCCTGAAGCTGCTATAGAAGCTACCCCCGAAACAACTCCTGTCAAGGTATATAAAAAAATAAAAAAATTATTTTTCTTTCTACGCTCGAAATCAAACACTACATTCCATATAGGATCTACGAAAATTATCAACGAGACAACCCCCTCTGGGATCTAACGCAGTGCGTGCTTTGGGTAACGCATTGGGCAACGGCACATCATCACGGCCAGCAACGCCAACTCCTATAAATTCCTCTTCGGCCTCGGGAACAAAAAGTACGGATATCTCATCAAACACACATGGATTTCTTTCGAATAGATTAAATAAAATTATGACAGACAGACAAAGTGTTATTCAGTCGCAAAAATTACTGAGTAATAACGAAGAAAATAGTAGGTTCCCAGAGATGGCTTTAAGTCAAAACGGAAAGAATGATTCTTGGCAAGAGGATCAAGAGGTTTGAGCAATTTATTGTTAGTATTTAATAAATATGAAATTTATACTTTAGATAATAATTTTTAATATAGGTACTAGAAATTGTCAGCTCGCATGGAAATGGAGCAGTTGAAATGCCAAAGTATGTTGAAGCGCAATCTGATACACGAAACGAAAAGAGCGAGTACGGCACTCTGATCAATTTATCGCAAAAGATTTATCAACTTCGATTATACTCTCAATGCCATCTCCCAGTAGAAGATACGAATTCAAACGTAACGCACAAAGTGAAGTATCGAAGAGTTTAAAGATTTTACATGTTTAGCACTACAACGACAATGAAAGGAATGTTTGTATTCGCAGATTCGACACTCCAGATCCTGCCCGGACATGAAAATGCAGAAGAATAGCTACAGCGAAGATGTAACAGATCAGGTGTCAGCAGGAACGAAGAGACACGAGGATATTGGTACTCAAACATGTAATCTATTTCCATACGAACATCTGCTACTAGGAATGTTAGATCAGAACAGCCAAAACGTTAATCAAGAAAGTTCTGATTCAAGAATGTCGCCAATCAGCATGCTGGATCGATATATCGAGGCTTGCACAAGAGCGAATAGCTTTTCTAGTAAAACAAGTAAATATAGAATAATGTGTGTATGGCTATAAGCGAATGTCTAGTGAAATGTGGTTGAAATACTAAGTTTTTCCAGAAACAAATGGCACCAGGCAGAAACAGAAAAAGAAAGGGGAAGAGGATTCGGAGGAAGACGGAGGAGAAGACGATGGTGTAGATCCAACTTGCGCCAATCAGTTACTTCAACTCATGCAAATGCAACTGTTATTCGAGCGACAGCGTCGGGAAGTTCATGCTGAACGTAATCGACGTTTGCTTGGTAAATTACGAGATTCACGAGCTTCAGAAGAACACAATCTTGCTTTGGTTCGTTTCTTTTCTTAATAATATTTATTAAGTCCCTACCAAATAGATAAATCTAGCATCTTTTTTATTTTGCAGACCGAACGTTTGAAAATGATCGAGAGGGAAGTGGAAGAATTGAAAGCGCAATTAGAGAATAATAAAAGGGAAGCACATCAAGCTGAGGAACAATACAAAGAAGCTATGCATCATTGGCAAACTAAAGTATGATTTTTTTGAAAATATTTTATTTATCTTTATAAAAAAAATTGTAAAATATTGGAAGACTAATCGCTTATATTGTGCGTTCAGTGCGTTGAAGAGCAACGACAAAGTCAGGCGTTCAAAGATCGCTTAGAAAGTTTAGAATTGGAATTGAAAGATGAACAGAAGAAGACTGCCGAAACGCAACAACAGCTTCGTTCTGTTGAGGCAGAACTTTTCAATGCAGGACATCAGCTTAAAGCAGCATTAAAGGCTGCGGATCGTGGCAAAGAACTGGAATGCAATGTGGACACTATGCAGAAAAAATGTGTGCTTTTAGGAGAGGTAATTTATTTTGATTTAAAAAATTGTTTAATGAAATTTTAAATTGAGAATATTTTTCACATGTTGACAAATTAATATTATTACACGTTACGAGATTATTTTTTTTTTCTATAGGCGCAATTAAGATTGCAAGAAAATACAAGTACTCTCTCACCAATAACCAAGCAAGAAACGGCGCAAATACAAAAATCGTATACAGAAGAGTTAAACAGTAAGCACATAAAGAACAGATGAATTGAGAATGAAATTTTTTTCGCGAAATACATCTCACAAAAACTGAAATTTTTGCAGATATTCGACGACAGTTGGAATCGCGAACATCGCATTTGGAAGCGTTGAAAACTCGATTGAGTGAGTTGGAAAATAAGGATGCGCGTAAGGAGACGCAATTGGTAAATCTGCAACGGCTCCTACAAGAAACGAAAGAGCAACATGCGTCCGAATTGGAAGCTGTTGAATCAAAGTATCAAGCGCAAGTAGAAATCAATCTGCTCCTGGAAGGTCGTATACTCGAGCTCCATGGTAAACTGGAAACTGCGACGGACTCAAATACTTCGCCCATGGGTAATCCTGCTTCCTCGGCATCGCCTAAAGAACGATCTCCACCTCTTTCAACTAGCCTAGCTTCGTCCAGCGAGGGTAGCCTTGCGTTCATTCATCCGGGGGCCGGGATTATCATGAATGATTGCTGCGATACTGCAACGGGTGAGATACCCAATTTGCAAGCTATGATAGAACCTGTATCGAGTACCAGTCAAGCCACTTCACCATTACGCTCCAACATTCAACAATCATCGACGCCGAAGCAAGATTAACACTATGGAAATGTTTACCGTAACATAAATTCCTTGTATATCTGCTGTTAAGCGATATACGGGATTATTATCGAAGATTATACGCAAATACGCCGCGATCGTTACTTAGTGTTGCGGCACGAACGGAAAGAAAGTTATTTGTAGCTTTTTATCGATAGAATAGACGAGATTCGTAAGGAAGACAACGTGATTGCGATCGAACAGGCATGCTAAGTTTGTTAGTGTTGGTATATCTCCGCTCTTGGAAAAATGAATTCACAGAATAAATGGTTGAGATATTTTGCTGACCAATTTGATTAATTTTTACTCTCAAAGCGTATCATCCTGACTGATATATTTTTAATATTTTACTTATACTTTTGCCCGTCTTATCAGCATAGTCTGCCAAAAATTATCCCCCATTTGATAGATCTTTCAAATTAGTCGCTTAATGAAAGTTTAGTGTATATACCTATGTAATTGCATTTTTGTAAAATTATTATTAACTATACATGAAAGCATGAAGGTGAATATTCAAAATAGATCCAAGAAAAATATACATAGTCTAGAAAAATTATATATTACGAAGATGATGTATATATACGATATATACTTACATTTTTATACACATACATTTTATACATATAAATATATATATATATATATGTATTATATATATATATATATATATATATATATATATATATATATATATATATATATATAATACTGAGTCTTTCAAAGATAAAAAGACAGAATATATCACGATGAAAGACAAATATTTTTAGCTGTACAAATGCAATGAAAAATCAAAATGTTCGATTTCAATCGTGCAATAAGACTGTCATCCCGTTTGCATTGATAAATTAATCATTATAAAATAATTTTGCTAATAAGTTTGTAATTCTTGACTTATTGTCATAAGTATAGCATCGTCTGGATTGGCGTAATTTGCTAGATCTGAAAAAGAGCTAGGATGAATATAGATTATCAATTATTTTCATTAAATATATAAAAAATAGGCGACTATTTACAGCTATGCAAATTAAATGCAAATTCATGCAATATACAGGATGCCCCACAGTAACTCACAATTTTGTCTTTAACGTAAATTCTACAGTCTTTGATGACTTTTCCAATATTTCTAAGCGTGACAATATTTGAAGTATGAAGTATAAATTGAAAAAAATAGTGCGTTTAATTTTTCTCATTCTTATTTATATATCCACATAATCGTTACTCACGATTATGGCCTCGGTATAGTGGGTAAGCTTTTAATCTCCTCAACAAGAGTTCCAGCAACCAAAATATGGCTAGCCATAAAAGTGCACCTACTGAAAATGTTCTTAATGCTGTAACTCCTCCATAAGAGTCCATTAATCTGCCACATATAAAACTACTTCCTGCCACTCCTAAAATGATCAATGGAAAAAAAACATGCCGAGAGAAATTAGAGAATATGAACAATTTTATATAATATTAAATTAACTAACCAATTCCTTCGAAAACAGCACCAATAAATCCTTGCATAGTGGCTTTTTGACCGGACGGTGTCACTTTATCTCCATAAGACACCATTGTCGGCCAGCATAACCAACGAAGGTCCATGGAGTAATTCGAGAATTAAGAACAACCAGACATTCGATATAATACTGTATGCCATGAATCTATGAGATTAAATCAATTGTTTTTTAGCAAGAAACGAATAAATTGTAATAATAACTCTGTAATACAAGAAAAAGATATAATCGTAATAAAAAAAAAAAAAAATAAATTGCTCACCTAATTGCATAGATGAGCAATACGAGACTCATAACGTTAACATGACCAAGTTTTTTCAACACGGTGCCTGACACAAAGTTGAAGGGTAATTCCCCTAGAAAACACTGAACTCCGGTCATCAAACCTTGCAAGGTCTTAATCCACTTGAAGTGAGAGCTCTTCGCTAGGTCCTCGCTATACCAGAACAGAAAGTTCCAAATGACTCCTGTACACATCCCGGCACCTATGCACCACCAGGCAAACACCAATACTCTTCCTTCTTTGATTATGTTTAATAGTTCCCGCGATAGTGATGGCTCATCCGTGGAACATTCCGGATTTTTCTGTAATGATACTTCCTTCTCCCATTACCTGCCAATTTTGCATTCTTTTGATAAATAAGAAGTTTTTTTTAGTGCTTAATCTTAATCACGATCAATTTCTCACAGCTATAGTATTTTTTTATGAACTTTTTTTTGTGAACTTTTACCTTTTTCAATGTTGCGGACACTATAATGTCAGCAATCATGGCTACTAACATAATATAAAATATACAAGTGTAATCTTTTTCGTATTGTCCTTTGCTAGCAAGGTCTATCAGATAGCCTGAGCTTATACCAAAAATACCAAAACCAATGCTGCCCCACATCTTTTGTTTCCCATAATCATTCCTTCTTTCGTGACCTGAAATACATAGTTTAGAAATAACTGTAGTTTAACGATGACTGTTACTTCTGTAACAGAATAAATACAAACCAAGAAGATCAAAGCAGATAGCATCAGCTATGCTAACTACAACAGCCATTCCGATCCAACTAATGATAGCTGCCCATAGAAACATATAGAATTGGTATGAGGAATGTCTCGTATCACTATTCGAGTCCGTTGCTTCTTGTAGAAGATGATTGAACGCACTGTTATTATGGCAAGTGGCCATGCACGAAGTTCTCAATTGACCCCCGCATACCGGGGCGTGTGTAGTACCATCGAAAAATGTGCGCAGTTTCACGGCCACACAATTTTTCGTCTGCAAATTATTTTTCACAATAAAAACAAGTCTACATACAAAGAGGCAAATAAAAAAATTTATAATAAGTTTTTTACAGGTAAATCTTGATACATGTCAAATTTTGCATCAAAATCGAACGTGCCATTTGCAGAAACATTTCTGCCAGACAGTTCTAGGAAGCCATGAGATGTTCTTTTGCAAGACAACTATAAACATAAATTTGCATTAATTATTTGATATAAAAGCATAATTATAACAAAGGAAATTGTATTTGTACATACCTGACAGACTGTAGTAATATGGATATTTTCTAATATCACTGCACTTAATGCTTCCTCTGAGAATTCTGTCTGTGGACAAATCTCTAAGTATGACAAGTCATTATCACAGAGAAGGGTGACTTTCGCACTTCTGTCTATTCCAGGAATGAAATAAATAGAGAAAAATGCTATTGCCAACACAGCTTCAAATATCAAGAAGAAGGTTTTGTGCAATTTGAACTTATCAGCCAAACTGCCAAATAATGGCTTCGCAATTAGACCAGAAATTGGTAATATTGTATATATTGTACCAACTACCGTCCTGGAAAAGCCCAGTTGTTTTCCAATCGTTGGCAAAAATTGTACCATTGGTCCCGTCGCTATAAATAGTATAAGTATAATTAATGCAAAACATAAAAATTTATTTTTTGAGATTATCAAAGAAAAAGAAAAGTTTCAACTTACCAGCATTGTAAAGAAAATAATGTGATTTTATAGGCGCTAGTTCTTTATTTATGTTTTGTAACATGATTAGATTTGTAGTTGGTCAATAATTATCTTTATATCCTTGTATCCTTGTGCAGCTTATCTGCAACAAAATAAAATTATAATAATGCATATTATATGCATATTATACATCTTGAAGCAATATTAGAGAAATAGAATCGCTATCAAAATAATATTACGATATATTACGATTAACGCTACTCTTCTCATTTATAGATCATTTATAGATGCCTAAACTCTAACTTAATCAGCGATCAACTTATCAAGCAATATTTGTAGTACTTTGTTTACACAGAGTTTAATTCTTTGCTGTCTATCACATGGAAAAGATTATTTCAAAATCGAGAAGATAAGAAATCATACAGACGAAATTTTCGAGTAAATGATTCCACCTGCTGAATCAGAATTTGGTTATCGTCCTAACGTCGTGTGGCACACGTGTAATCCACTTTACACTGACATAAAGAATTAAGCTTGAGATATATGAAATGAACTTTGAGTGCTTATGCGATCTCTTCTTCCGTGAGGCTGAAACTCAGAGAGAGCCAAAATACCTCGTGATCAAATCCGCGGGCTAGTCGAGAACTCCGGAACAGTGCATCGTCCTCGCGCGACGCTCAGTCCAGATCGTGACACGCGATGGTTGAGTTTTCGCGGATTTGAGCCTCGTCGTACCCGTCCAAATCTCTGCGTGTCACACTTGACGCTATCGGATGAATCACGGTGAGCAGATAAGGCGGCTGCGAATAACGCTTCGAATCCAACGATCTTCTCTTTCTCTGTCTCTCGCTCTGTTTCTCTCTCCTCTTTCCTTCGTCTCTCGGTGATCCGTTACGCAACGGAAGGTTTCTCGACGCAAGCACGTCGATTGCGAGATGATTTCGAGCCTCGGCCTCGTCCCTTCTTTTTGCGCGTTTTGCGCGACGCTGCACAGTCGTGCCGCCCAATTCGCGGCACGCTCGAACACGCGTTCGATACGCGTCGGTTTCAGCTTACACACTGCTGTCAGCTGTATTGTTGCCGGGCTGGTGGCTGCTACGTCATCGCTCGCTCCTTGTTTACACGTTGCCGCTACGTCATTCATGTATGAACGACGATCGTGAGAAAATTCGTAATTTTGCTGTAAAAACATTCGTTCAAATATGAAGAAATCGTAATAAATAGAAAAAAAGGAAGTTATGAAAAAAAAAACATGTTTTTTCATATATTTTTGACAATCCGTATGTGAGTGATAAAGATGCGAATGAAAATTGTTACAATCGACAAGAATAAAACAAAAAAGTATAAATTTGATTTAGTTAATCGATTCATATGGAATATCTTGAAAATAAATATGATTTCCCTATCGATTCTATTTTATAAATTGAAGAATAATAATAATATCAAATCTATATTTCTACATACTGAAAATAAACTATTTCAAACACAAAGAAGAGTTGCATCAATGCAGATAAGTGCTATCACAGTGTTGACCACGCGAATTTTGTAACAAACTGCGCTTTAATATTTGTCATAGATACATTTACAATATACATTTACATTATATATATGTATATATTTATAAGTGTCAATACCGCTTCTCTCCTGACGATACTCTGCCCAACGATAAAGATGAGTTAATGGGTGTACGATGATAGCGGCGTATTATGGTATATTCCGTCTTTTTTTTCCCCGTACATGCTTATACACATATATATTTTCTGCTGGTCTCTCGTTACACTATTATACGCGCCTCTCTCCGAACAGAAAAGAAAAAAAAAAAAGAGAACGAAAAGAAGACCACCATTTCTTCTCCATCGCATCGCGCGAAATTTAACTCCGGTTCGCGACCGCGGTCCTCGTCCCTTCCCGGGTCTTTGCACAGTATCCCTCTCGTTACATTGAGATTCCTTTACATCGAGCACATCGTCTTCTACGCGAGATATGTGTTTTATTATGTATATATACAAAGAAAGCCTAAACTCTCTTACGTGCCTAATCCTTACGACGCTAAGTAATCTACATAACGTACACCAGCAACAGAGCGCGCTCGATTATTATTTTATACACAGAAATCCCCTTCGGTTATTCCTATCCGGGAGTCTTTCTTCTACGATTCGACGTTGAGTTAATTATTATCCGGACCGAATGGAAGGATCAACGGAAAAAGAAACCGAAACGGCTGGACGACACTCGGCGAATCATGGACCCGAACAGCGGTGTGCTACGGAGAGAGGACGTCCGTCAGTGCTAATTAATCGCAAAAATCGAAGATTGCATAATTCCATCTCAATACGCACGCACGCACGCACGCACGCACGCACGCACGCACGCACGCACGCACGCACGCACGCACGCACGCACGCACGCACGCACGCACGCACGCACGCACGCACGCACGCACGCACGCACATGTACATATTAATCCGCTCGCGCGTGCTCTTGTCGACACAAGAGATAATGTCGGACAAAATGCACTCGCGAGTAATTTCCTGCGTACATCATTATACATATTTAAACATACATATTACGTGCAGATGTATGATGCATTCCATGTGCGTAATTTCATCGCGAATACGTATTTCATCCGATGACGCACACAGAGGAACTTCCGATAGAGACACGCGATCGATCCATCCTCGGCGCTAACGACCTTAGAGCTATTGTATCTGCCGGTTAATCTTGTTTTAGAAAACTATCAAAAATTCCTATATATCGAAAGTAGACTTGTCCCTTATGTACATGTAGAAGCTAGGCTTCTCCGCTTTTCGACAAACAGTGTAAAAAGTGGTCAAACGGTTTTGCGACGGTTGCTCGTAAAAAGGAAGCTGCGGTCAAAGAAATCTACGAACGGTGTCATTTACCTAATTCCGTGGAGAGGAAGCCTCGCAGGTTTCGGCGTTACGGTCAGTTGCGTAAAAATCAATAAAAAAAAGACAAGTCGCGAGGAGGATGTCCTTTGTTGAATTGGGGAAAAAAAAAAAAAAAAAAAAAGAACAAAAATGAGGCAGAAAGGGCATGCTGCTCTCTCGCGCGCTCGCCAAGAGACTTTCGATTGACATTTGACGATGCGACTAGTCCTTTAGACTCGCTCCCCCTCCGTCGCGGTACGTTTCTAGGTCCGTCAGAAGACTAATCTGTCATCATCGAATCACGGATCGATCTTGCAGTGATCTTAGTGGCTAAATCCAGGACGGTCGGTGATGATGCGGTGGCTGAAGAGCGTAGAGCGAGTGGAGGTACTGTTGATAGGCCGGGTCCACTGTGAGGTTGGGCCCGTGAGGCGTCACGTAGGCGGACATCGGCGGCACATAAGCCGCAGCTGCCGCCGATCTCTGGGCGGCGGCGACGGCGGCGGGCGAGTGGAACAACGGATGAGGCGGATAGTTCCTGGGCGGTGGTTGATTGCCGAGTTTGTTGCAGGCAGTCGGTTGGCCCGAAGCGTTGCTCACTGTCGGCGCTCCCACCGGCTGCTGTTGCTGTTGTTGTTGCTGCTGCTGCTGCTGTTGCTGTTGCTGCTGCTGCCGCAGGCTCATGTAGTAGCTGGTAGAGTTGCGGAACTCATCCGTCAGGAAGGCGAACGCGGCCGCGGCGGTGGCGTCCTTGTCGTAGGGGAAAGGCGGCGCGTGGCCGGTGCTCGCACCGCTGCTAGAGGCGGCGAAGTTGAAGGCGCTACCCGGTGGGACCGTCTTCAACGCACCGATGGATTCGGCCGCGGTCGCGGCGGACGCGGCCGCGTACTGCGGAAACGCGGGCATTCCCGCTGTCTGCTGTTGATCGGTGCCGGCCGTGACGACGGTAGTCGTTACGGCCGTCGCCGTGATGGCTGCGCTCGGTTGAGCGTCCTGCTGCTGCGGATGCTTGCTCTTCCGACTTCTCTTCGTCTTGGACTGCCCCATGGCGGCCGGTATCGCGGTGGATGTCGTCCGCACGTCGCTCTCGCCGGCTCGTCGCGATATCGTGAGAATACTCTGGCTGTTCTTCGCTGCGCTTTGCAAAGTCTGCAGCAAATTAAGCTGATCGAGCTCGCCGGACGCAGCGCCACGACCATAAGCGGACAGGTGCTCCGATTTCGTCCCAGGCGGTGGACGTGGGATCGTCAATAGTTGCTGTTGTTCTTTACTCGGTGCTCGACTCACTAGTGCTCCGAGGCTGAGTCGCGCGTACGCCGAATTGGTCGCCATCGAGTCGGCCAGACCACCGACGAACGGCGTGCCGTCGAACTGATTGACCGGTACGGCTTCTGGTTGCGGGATCATCATCGGCTCGAAACTCGGAAATTGCTCCTGGCTCGGACGCGTCATCGCGCTCTCCTGCGGTAGACCGCGCGTGCTGGATTCGCCGTTGGAAGGCGGCTCATACGCACGTTTCTTCATCGGAGGAGGATTGCTGTTCGGGCTACCGGACGCGGCTCCACTGCCACTGCCGCTGCCACCGCCGCCGCTGCCACCACCGGTGGATTTGGAACCGGCATCGAAATAATGCGGACTAGGATACACCGGCCTCGAATTCGATGGCGGTGGCGGTAGCGAATAGCCGGACGGCTGGAAGCCACTTGGATACAGCGATTCGTGAGCTGTCAAGTTCTGCTGAAATGATAACAACTGCGTCTGATCCGGTGCAGGCGCGGGTAATTGTTCACTGCTGCCCGACGACGCTTTGCTGAGGAAGCCACGCGGTTGGATTTCGGTGAAGTTGGTTCGCGATTCCTGCGGTGCCGATTGCTGCTGCTGCTGCTGCTGCTGCTGCTGTTGTTGTTGCTGAGACTGACCGCTGTGTCTCGAAGTGGACCTCTGAAGTTCGACGTTGGGAAAACTATTCGGGTACGTCGATGGATACTGACTTGGCGATTGATAAATCTGATGATTCGCATTCAGATTCAACGATTCCGATTGAACAGGGAAATTCCTCTGTTGATCGCTCGTAGCAGGTTTCTCGGAAGCGTTAGACTTCAGATATTCTGTCCGATGTTCAGATTCATTCACAGACGACGATATTGTAGGTGACTGTTGAATGTACGGGGGATTTTGCTTAAAGTCTTGGGGATAAGTTGCAGACTGCGCCGTAGCCTGAGCAGGATACTCCTCCGAATTTTTCGATGATTGAAGCTGAGAATAATTAGTGGCCTGTTGCGGAGAAGATTGTGGGTAACCGGGCGATTGTTGCGATGGTTGTACGGGATTGCAAGTAGGCTTCTGCTGAGGCGACGATTGCGGGTAATTACGTGATTGTTGAGGCGATGGTTGCGAATAGTTTATCGCTGTCCCTGCTGCCGCTGTCGCTGTCCCGGTTGTTTGCTGAGGCGACAACTGTGGGTAATTCGATGATGTTTGCGGTGAATGTAATGGATGTGAATACGTTGCCGGTTGTTGGGGAGATGACTGCGGATAATTGGTCAATGATTGCGGTGATGACTGGGAGTATGGGCTATTTTGTGACGATTGTTCGGAGAACGAAGATGGTGCTTGCGGTGAGTGTTGAGGGAAGGTTTGAATCTGCGAAGATTGCGAGTAACTTCGATCATGTTGCGGAGTTGGGTACGAATTCGGAGGTTGAGGTGACGGTTGCGAATAGTTGGCCGGATGCGTTTGCGGCGATGACTGAGGAGGGAAACTCGGCGGCTGAGGAGTTGGTTGCGCGTACGCGTTGGGTGGCTGAGGCGAAGGCTGAGAGTAATTCGCAGGTGGTGGTTGCGGCGACAATCGACCGTACCCAGCGGGCTGCTGAGGCGAGGACTGTGGATACGGAGAGTGCTGCTGCGGAGACGGTTGTGAGTAATTCGGTGGCGTTTGAGGAGAGGACTGCGAATAGGGGGAGTGCTGCTGTGGAGAAGCTTGCGGATAATTGGTAACTGCCTGCGGAGAAGGCTGAGAATAATTAGTGACCGCGTTTTGTTGCGGCGATGGTTGCGAGTAGTTCGGAGTGGATGGTTGTTGCGGCGAAGGTTGCGAATAATTCGACGGTGGTGTCTGAGGCGACGGTTGAGGATGATAAACCGGCTGCATCGCTTGCGGAGAGTGTTGGGGATAAACGGGTGATTGATTTTGATTGCTGGCGGGTAACTGTTGCGGGAAGCGTTGTGGTGACACTTGCGGATACGCCTCGTTGGTGCTTTCTTGAGGCGAGGATTTCTGGTACGGCGACTGGTACGGCGGTTGCGCATGTACCGGTGGATAAGCGGGTGGTTGGTCGTAAGACGATGGATAAGCCGGGGATAGTGGATGGTTCTGCGGTGATGGCGTGGGCGGTAATTGCGCGCTGTATCTCGGCGGCGTCGCATAATAGGGACTATTGTAAGGGCTGCTCCCAGTCGATAATGCATCTTGATAAAATCCCGCGCCTCTAATCGGCTCGGTAGGAGTTATCACAGGCTGACACTGTGGAGAATGAGCTGCACGTGGTGCCGGTGGCGATTCCTGAGAGAAACTAGATACTGATTCACTGACACTGCTACCGCCAGTGCTCAGACGTCGTTGTCTACCGCAAAATGCCTCCTGCGAATCACTGTCCTTCTTCATCATTGTCGCCTCTTCCGTTTCCTCATCTTTCTTTTTTGATTTTGGCGCTCCAAAGGCTTTGAACCAGGCACTCAAATTTGGTGTGGCAGATTTCGGTTTTTGTGTTTCTTCTGCACCAGAACGAGCTGCATCCTTTTCCTCCGCTGTACTTCCTGTTGTCTTCGTAATTTCCTTAATACTAGTTTTTTCCTCCTTAACATTAGATGTTTGAGCTGTGGTAAGAGAATGGTCCTCCTCTTCGTCGTCGTTCGAAAAATTGGGGTTGGGTGACGATACCAAGCTTTTGCAGATCAATTGGATAGAATCCACATTTTTTAATACGGTGCCTAAACTGAGTTTTGGCTCTTCATCATTATCCTTATTCGACTGATCGTTATCACTGGTAGGGTATGTCGTAGTATCATTGGCGTTAGTGTTGGTCACATTAAGTGGTTTCTTCAGAAGTAAATTTCCTTTGCTTTTACCAGGTTGCAAACGATCGATTGTACGTTGTATCTTCTTTGGTCGATTCGGTCCATGAGGACCGAACATCTTGATGGAATTCGGTCTCTTTCTTGTAGCTTCTACCTTCGTCGATCCTGAACGACTGGATTCGATGGGAGTATGAAGCACCGGCGAGTCACTGCCGGAGGAGAATTCCGAAAGCCTGGGCGTATCGTCAAGCCATTTATTAATGTCCTAAAACATTGAATAAGTCAAATAGTATACAAATAAAATCGGAGAAAAATGTTTCAACTTTAGAAATTTAATTGTCTTGTTTTGACAATATAATTTCTCAAAAAATATATTTAAATATATCTAATAGTACATATACGCGCAGAATTAAATTCTAAAAATGTTACGCCTATAATTGATTTATATTTTGTAAACTTACATGAAGTGTTTTCTCCGTTGCTTGATTTAATGCTTGAATTGTAGCATTTTCTTCCGCTCCCAATCCTTTGGTATGCTTAGCGTGAGTAATCTTCTTATTTTCACTGACTTCCGAATCATGTTTCTTAATCACATCGTCCATAATTTTATCTTCCTTCGTACTTTTCTTCGATTTCGATCGCTTCGCACTGTCTTTGTCATTATCGTGGAAAGTACTACTGTTTGAAGGCACTTTTTTTGAATAGACACTATGAGTGTCACTTTTCACCGCTTTCCTCTGTTTTTCTTTCTCATTCTTCAATTTTTCCTCCCGTCTTCTATCGCTTATCTTATCTTTTAAACTATCAAGTGAGTCTACGTCTTTATTACCAATAAACGTAGAGAGCTTCTTGGAAATGTGAGTATGCTTGGAGTCTAAAGCACTTTCTAATTCTACATCTTTGGAATCTGTTTGACTTTTTAATTCGCCATTCTTTAATTCGTCATTCTTTTGTTTTGATTTCTTATTTTTTTGTTTTATATGATTCTTATCGGATTTTTCATCAGCCTTTGTTATAGTCTTTAAATTCGACTTTTCCTTTTTACGATTTTTTTTCGTTTTGACATGAGAAGATTGTTTTTTTTCCTCCTCGAATATTGCGTCATTTTCTTCCACTTCTATTTTTTTTAGTTTGCTTTTTTTCGCGTTGTCTGTCAATATTCCAGTTTCTTCAAGCTCTTTCTTTTCTATTTTTCTACTTTTACTTTTCGCAATTACCGGAGGTTCGTAATCTTCCTCGAAGTCTTCCTTCCGTTTCTTGTTCTCTTTCGTTTCTTTGGCAGATCGTACAATTTCTGTGTCCTTTTTTGGTTGATGTCGCTCCTTACTTGCTTTTTTATTTAATGTTTTTAATTCTCCCGGTTCCTTAGATAGCTTTTTGGTTTTAAGTAAACTATTTACATCGACGTTTTTTCTTCTCTTTGACGCTACAATACTAGTGTTAATACTAGATATTGCATCTTCACTTTCTTGGTCCTCCTGTTCCTCTTCATCTTCATCCGATTCTTCTTCTTTTATCTTTTTGCCTTTTTTCTTCCCTCTTTTCTTCTTTGCAACTTTAATACTTTTGTTCCTTTTTTCATCTTCATCTACTTTTTCGTTATTCTTGGATTTTGCTTTACCCTCAGGTTTATATGATTTAGATTTTTTGGTCGATTTCTTCGAACGTTTACGTGCATTATGGTGTGAAGAAGATAAATGACGTGAAGGATACAATAAAGATGTAGGCGATCCCGCTAGTGACCGAGGAGATGCAGGACCTTCGTCACTGGATGTTTCTGACTCCAAATATCGACTCACGGCTTTATCAAAAGCTTCTTTAAGATTAATCGCCATTTCCGTGTATTCTAAAATTTATAAAATGCTTTGTAATTTTTTCCAATGCATATAAAATCACTAGAATTTTACATATGTAAATATAATAAAAAATATGCCCAATAATAAATAATTTTGAAACTGAATAAAAGCATTACAAACCGTTATCTGAGCCATTGTACTGTCTACAATTGTCAACGATAAGTCGAAAATCACGTTTAAACTGACTTAAACTTTTATAAGAGCCGCCTTCCAATTTCTCTTCCATAGTGCTGAGATCCATTGGTCTTCGCACCACACTATAGTATCTATAAAAATTATTCACACAATAATGTTAAAACTTAAATGTTAGGCATAAATATTAATAACGACTTTAAGATATGTATGAGGTAGCGCGCGTACCTCGGTGCATACTCTTCGTCCACAGGATCAATAAATGGCCAAGCATCAACATGATCCTTAACACTTTCAAGAACTTTGTGCATGCCAACACAACGTTCTTCCTCTTCAATACCGAAGGAATAGCCATATTTGTAGCCATAATTACAAGATACGTAATTACCATCATGATTACCGATACCCTTCTTTTTTTCCAGATCTTCTACCTCGTCCCTCGTGTGAATTACAATCTGGCCGACAGCGGAAGCTAAAGAATTGTTTGTTTGCCGCCCCTTTTTCTGGACCGGCGGAGTTGGTAACGGTGGAGTAGTCTCCTCCTTAATGTAAGCAGATTTTGAAGCTTGCGTCCCTTTTTTAGTCCCTTTGGTCGTTTTAGTCTTGATCTTGGATCTGACCATGACTGCATCCATCTGAGTAGCAGGTTCCTGACTGCGAAGCACTCGCGAGCTATTACGTTGTAATAGCTTACGCCGTTGCTGCTTCTCTTTCAGATCGAACAATTTCGGTATTTCTGGCATAAAGTCTTCGGATAATGTACGATAAAGTTTACGTTCGGTATCGTATTCCTAAGCAAACGAGCATAAATGTATTTTTACTTTCACAAAACAAATCACACTTTATATATATATATATGAAATAATCATTACCGAATCACGAAATTTTTCAACTAATCTGCTCCAATCTTGTTGGGTGAAACACACAACTTGCCAAACACTCTCTCGTCCCTCGCTGTTTATTAAACCAGCTTCCTCCTTCTCTTCCTCTTCCTGTTCCTCCTTCGCCACTCTGTTCCGTCGTTTTTTACGCTTTTTATCCTTTGGCTTACTTTTCTGCTTGTGTGAGGCACTATCAGAAGTATCAATGTAATCCTCCCGGTACAGTCGAGTGCCGTAGAAGTACCAATAGGCAGAATTCTTACGATCATGTCCCAAAGGTTCGACTCGCAGACTATCCGAGTCCAAGTTGCTCAATGACTGCTCCTATTATTAATATTTGTTTAATACTAATTTCTTTAAAAAAGACACATTAATTGTGATGATTCAATACATACTACGTCTTCGGCGTCGAGCCTGAAGTCACAGAGTGCACGTAGTATTTCTACTTTTTGACGAAGTGGTAGTAATTCAAAGTCTACGTCTGTATTAAAAGGATTCTCACACTTGTATTCCTGTATAAAAATTTTAATTATATTTTAAGGTCTACAATCTACATAATCCAGGGAAACTTTATAATCCAGAGCTAAGATATACGTACTTGACATTTTTTCCGAAAAAGTCTGCGTAGAAACATCTGATAATTAAAGGTGGAGATGTCATTGCGGGTGTCATTTGGCAAGCAACCCTCCAGTAACTTTACTATCAGTTCCTGAAGCAGTCGTCCTTCAGTACCTCCGTCTGTTAATAGGGCTTCTTCCAAATCCTACAATTTAGCGACATTTAATGGAGATGAGATACATTTCACCATATAGTTACTCGTAGTGAAGTGAAGAAATAAACAAAATGACATATAAGCCAATAAATAATAAAAGATTAAAGCTGAAGCGTGACAGCTGTTTGGCTGCCTAAATGCTGAAGCGATACTAACGGGCTTTACATACACTGCTTACTCATAAGAGAGTTAGCACTTGATTAGATACCTCAATATCAAAATCCAGAAGATTGAAGGCAGCTCTAAATAATGAGCAAAAGTGTGCTATACTTGGCACCTCCCACCACGATTGAATGTCTAAAAAAATAAAGGAACAGTTAAAAGTTCCTTGATCTTAATCTTACTATCTATTTGAAAGTAATCGATGCAACTGTATTAATTTCTTAGACAAAGTTATTTGAAATCTTAGATAAAAATAATTAGAAAGTAAAATAGTACTAATTGGTAATAAATAAAAATTTCATGTATCTTTCACGTTTGAATATAATTACAAAAGATTCCCTTTTCGAAATATTTGTATATCATCCTGTTAAATATTTTATTTCATAAAAATTTTTCCTACATTGTAATAATTGTAACTTTGGTATATGAATTATTCAACGTTAAATAATATAAGGGAAAAATAAATAAATAAATCTAAAATTAAAAATAATAAATGAAGTGGCTAATTAAAAACAAATAATTACCTCTAAGTAAAATAGGATTTTCTTTTTTCTAAATTAGTATTTTACTAAAATTTTTTTCTAATCTAAGCAATGCTTATTTTTATTTCTCTTATATATATATATATATATATATATATATATATTTTTTTTTTTAAAACTTGCGACAAATTACCAGATTTAATTTGATTCCTTCGTGATAATTTAAACATACATTCATACACTCCACAAATTCATCTTAATCAATTCTGATCACAAAAATATATACAAAATACATAATTATATAAATACATCAACAAGTCAAATTCACAATTTAAAAAAGTATAAAGTTTTCTTGGAATATACTTCAATAAAGAAATAGACTTTCTTATGTAAATTTTTGAAATGGATATTGCTTGTATATAATTCTAATAATAAATCACAAATATACATTATTCAATTATTTCCTTTAGTTCAAACATTCAAGACTAAGGATTACAATAGGACTAAAGCTAAAAACGTGTCTCGTCGCGAAAGACCGGGATTTCGCATCTGAACCTGCTACCACAAAAAAGACCTGACACACCATTCCTAGTATTGCTCATAGTGGCACAAAAAGAAACAAAGTACAGATATACACAGAATAAATCGAGGAATTCGTGACGTGCGCCGTCCGATGGGATAATCCTTGCCATCCGGAGGGCTAATCCTCGTCATAGGACGACGATCGGCGCGATGGTAAGGACTCACCTAGGATCCCGATGAAGGTAGGAAACATAACCCGTCGTGTGGCGGGCGAATCGGGCGAATCGGCGTGTCCAGGGCGGGACACGGGCGGGCTCGATGTATATCGACGTCCAAGTGTTGCGGGAGAGTTTTCCGTGTCGTGACGACGGTGTGGGCACGGGTCACTCTTCCTCGGTGGGCCGTACTCGGCGGCGCGGTGGGAGAGCACGAACACGGTGACGACGATCTAAATGCTCCGCGCGTAGCGCACGGAGTGCGCGCGCGACGTGAAGGATTGAGCAAAACAGTCCGCCGCCCGGCTGCGTATATGGATTACGTATATATGTATACGTATGTATGTATGTATGTGCATGTGCGTGCGTGTGTGTGTGTGTATATATATGTATATATGAAGCCCGTATCTCAGAAGTCGGGTCGCACGTCAGCGGTGAACGACACTCGTGTCGATAGTCTTGGTAGGCGCGCGCGCGAGCGTGCGATCGCGGGCTTGCATAGCTCGCTGAACGGCCCGCGTATCGTGTCGTGGCCGTCGCTCGCTCGCTCGCTCGCTCGTTGGCTCAGTGGCTCACAGGGGGACTACTCCGAGGCGGCGTAACGGCGTAGGGCGCATCCGCGGTTCATCGCGCGGTGATGGACCGCCGGATCGTTTGTTCGTTCGTTCGTTCGTTCGTTCGCTCGCTCGCTCGTTCGTTCGTCCGGCCGTCGAACCTTCGGCTGCGAGAGAACGGTCCCTTCTCCCCTCCGGCTCTCGTGCTGAGAATCGGCGGGCTTAGCTCGCCGGAACGCGACCGCCGTGGTGCCGCGGCTCGCGCGCGACCATTCCAGTCGGGACGCGCGGCGCGTACTCAAAACACATAATCACCAGCCGCTCGCCGCGGCGCTCCGCCGTCCACAGGTCTACAGTCCCACGGGTAGCTGAACGCGCGCGCGAACGGAACTACGGAGCGACACTCGACGCCGAAAGCGGAAGTCGGCCGCGCGCGATAATGGATAGAGGCGCCGACGACGCGCGACGCCCGGGTCTCGTTGCGCTGGGTCGCGATGCGATGCGATGCGACGTAATGCGCGGCGTCTCGTCGCGTCGCGAGTCTCTACGCTCGGTAATACCAGTCGCGATATTACGCGACTACCGTACGCACGTACGCCGTAAACGAACGACACACGGGCGCGGACCAGCGCGGACTATACTATTATATCCAGTAACAACTGCGACCGCGGGCGTATACACCCGTGTTACATAGACGGGCGGCATTGCTGGTTATGTGGCATCCGGGAAAATGGAGGCTCCACAATTTCTATCAAAGTAGATTAATTTTAATTTCAATTTAACTTATTTTTTTCTAATTCTAATACCTATCTCCAGCATTATAGGCTAGCATTAATCTCGATACAGCGCATCTTCTTCTAATTCTTTATCTTTTTTTAATTTAGCCAGAATACCTAAGGAAAGAATACTTTTATTGGACACTGATAGTAAGATGTAAGCGTCATCCACCAGAATCGGCCAATGGCTGAATAGCGCGGTCTAATAAATTGCTAAAAATATTGCGCGCTGAATGATGCATTTCTAAACATAGGGCCTCTATCCAGACAAACTTGCATAGCAGCATAATCATATGCCTAAGAAAAATTATTCAATTGCATTTCTATCATGAAGACACATGTAAAATGCGATTGAATAATTTTCCTCGTGCATATAGTTGTGCTGAAAGTTTATCTAGATAGACCCACATGGCTGCTATTTTAAATTTTCAAACCGTGATTATTATTCAAATTTTGTCACTCGTGTTTTTTGTGTTTTCACAGTGTTTTCGACTTCAATTAATCCATTCAAGAGCGATTAATGATGTTATTTACTTAGTTATAATTAAACGATTAGACGCTTAATATTTAAGAGGAAGACAAAAGTATATATAAAAGTTGTATTAATAATATTATAAAAATTATATTAATTTAATTTTTATTATATGTTAATAAAAATATAATTATAAAAATCAAATTATAAGATTACTCTATAAATTTAATAATTAAATATTTTACACATCATTCTTTTATATTTTGAAACAGAATTCATGAATGTTCAGAATTTGAATGCGCATGCGCGATAAGACGATGGGTGGCACCCGTTTGACCATGTCCCGATTGACTACTAGCCACTCACAGCGTTTGAACAGTGGAAAAATTATAGGCACCGGTCCTTGTGAGTGGTCAAACGGAACGTTCCCGTTTCCTACGGGATGACAGATGTCTGGAGATTTCTATTGGATCAATCAATCAAATAATAATATTTTAAATTGACCAATCGGCAACGTGGGCAATCGGGCGCCACCCGATTGCTACTAATCACCTTTTTGATTTCATCATTCATTTCACGAGATTGCTTCTGCTAGAATATTTTGAAGCGTTTGATTAACTTCAAACACTTCAAAGCATTTGTAGTGAGACTTTAATCGCACCCTATATGTGCGGAGCGTGAGCCGAACGATGACAGTTACAATCGTTTACGTCACACGACCATTTAAATCAAATTCTTGTTCACATCTACTATTACAGGCGCGACATTTTTAATGAGGTTTGGGACTCACGCGGAACTTCTCGTCAAGGCGATGAACAAAACGAAATCGTCTCGCAGAGTTTATTTTTTTGAGCAAATCACTGGGAATAAATTAATCTCTTTATTTGCAAAGTAAACTCTTTATTAATTAATAAACGTTTTTTGTATAATCTCTTGCCTATGATGATTCCAATGTCCAATGTCCAATGTGCGATTAATACTCAGGAGCCTTAATGACATCTATTAATGCTGATTTCCTTCTGTTAATGGTCTCTTAAACCAGCGGCATACGATGCTTTTTCCTGCAGATTTGCTGATTTGCGCGTGCTTGCTGAGCTCTTATTTTCGATTGATATATTTTTTTAGATCTTAAAGAATATACCAATCAAAGGCAAGAGCGCAGCAAGTACGCAAATCCAAATAGGAAATTAAAAGGAAAAAAAGTCTCGTATTTTGGCTGTATATTTATTTATGAGTATGTATCCACACAGCTTACGCTCTTTAGCAAACAATTTAGCAAATTCTATTTTGATGAGATCTACTTCTATTCCTAATTTCCGTAGATCTTCTGTAGCTTCTATGGCAGATTTATGGCAGATATTAGTGTCATTTGGTTCGGGATATTTTTTCTTGAGGAGCTCGATTTCTGCTAATGCTCTCTTAAGTTGATGTTGGAATTCCTTAAGAAAGTCATTACGCTCTTTAATAAGTCCTTTATTGATGAATTGGAATTCTATTCTTAATTTCTTTAGATTTTTGCATGGAAGATACATTAGTGTCATCTGGTTTCTTCTGTTCTATTATTGTATTGAAATACTGCCTTTGCCAGGAAAATGCAGAAGGTACATATAATAATCTGCAAATATATATTTAAATATATGTATTTTTATTATTCATATATATGATAAAAATTCAAATAACCATAATTATACTAAAGAAAATTGCAAACAATTTATTTTCTAAGAGACAATTAAATTTAAAATCTTTTAAGAAATGTTGTTTTATATATTAAAATAAAATTGATATTACATTTCAAAATTAACATGTTGAAATTATGTTTTCTACATTTAAATTATTTAAAAAATATAATTTCAATAAGTAATAATAAAAAAAGCATTATAATTGTTACCTTCCTGTTACCTTCTTGACTTGTGCTGCAAAACTGCGGAAATTTCCGAAAATTTTGAATTTCTATTTTGACGAACCATTTTTAATTGCTTGCCACTATAAAAAAAAATTAAATAGTAAATACTCTACAACGTTAATTAATAGCGAGAATACGCTTCTAGCATTAGAAAACAGAATAGAATAGGTAACACGCGGTTATCTCGAAATGCCGATTCGATAATCTTGTATCTTGCATTCGATGATCTTGTATCAAGCATTTATTTGCGAATCGCGATAAAAGTGTCAAATTACCTGCGTAATCCATTTTGATTAATCTGATCTGACAAATTCTTTATCGTCACACGATTAAATCGCAGTACTGTCGGCACGATCGACGCCATGGTTTATATCGGCGATCTCGAGAAATGGATGATGAAATTAGAAGACGAGACGTGAGGCGTTTTCCAACAAGAGACACCGTTGACGCAGTGTAACACTGTGATCATTTCATCCTTGTTGTTTGTTAATAAAACGTCCTTCCATATCTCTTGTTGGAAAATGCCCGCGATCAGTAGCAGTCGCGAATATAAACAATTGAGATTATAGAATATCGAAGAAGGTAAGGTATCACGACTTAGTATTGTTTGACGAACCGCGTTTTCGCACATGCGTATTTCGTAATCTTTGAACATTCATGAAATTTGTTTCAAATTGAAAATATAAAAGAATGATGTTGTGCTAATTTCGTAAATAGCTGTCATTGGCGGTGGTCCGATTTTTTACAAAGTGCTTTTCACGTCATTCTACCTTTATTATTATATATAAAATTAGGATAGAATAACGTCAATACTGCTATAAGTGTGAGGGTGCTGTTTTATAATGTCCAGGGCCAGCAAACATAATTTGCCTTATATAATTATATTTTTATCAACATATTACAATTAAAATTAAATTAATATAATTTTCATAATATTACTAATACAACCTTCATATACACTTGTTTTCCTTTTAAATATTAGGCGTCTAATCGTTGGTCAAACGATCGTTGACCGAACGATTAGACACCTAATATTTAAGGGGATATAAAAGTATATATGAAGGTTGTATTAATAATATTGTGAAAATTATATTAATTTTTATTATAATATGTTAATAAAAATATAATTATAAAAGTCAAATTATAAGATTATTCTGTAAATTTATTCATAATTAATTATTTTACACATCATTCTTTTATATTATTTTCAATTGAAACAGAATTCATGAATGTTCAGAGTTTGAATGCGCATGCGCAACAAGGCGATTCGTCAAACAATACTAGTCGTGACACCTTTTCTTCGATATTCTATGATCTCAATTGTTTATATTCGCGACTGCTACTGTAGCAGTCGCGAATATAAACAAGAATATCGAAGAAATGAAGACATCACGACTAGTGTTGCTTGACGAATCGCCTTGTGTTACTGATCACGTTTCGCTAATTAATTTCATCATCCATTTCTCGAGATTGCCGGAATAAACCATGGCATCGATCGTGTCGACAGTACTGCGATTTAGTCGTGTGACGATAGAGAATTTGTATCAAATTAATCAAAATGGATTGCACAGGTAATTTGTCACTTTCATTGCGATTCGCAAATAAACGCTTGATACAAGATCATATTATCGAATCGGCATTTCGTGGTTAACTGCGTGTTACCTATTCTATTTTATTCTTTAAGCTATTTTGTTTTCTAGTGCTAGAAGCGTGATTCTCATTAATTGACGTCGTAGAATATTTGCTATTTAATTTTTTTACAGTGGCAAGCAATTAAAAGTAGTATGTCAAAATAGAAATAAAAAATTTTTGAAAATTTTCGCAGTTTCACAGTCAAGTCAAGAAAATAACGCTGATAACAATCATAATGTTCTTTTTATTATTACTTGAATATAAATTGAATATAAATTTTATTTTAATATATAAAACATTTCTTAAATGATTTCAAATTTAATTCTCTTTTAGAAAATAAATTGTTTGCAATTTTCTTTGGTATAATTATAATTATTTGAATGTTTATTTTATATGTGAATAATAAAAATATATATATATATATATTTAAATATATATTTACAGGTTACCATATGTATTTTCCTGGCAAAGAAAGTATTTCAGTACAATAACAGAAGAGAAGAAATCAGATGACACTAATATATCTTCCATGCAAGAACGTATAGAAAAGCTAAAAAAATTAAGAATAGAATTCTATCTCATCAATATAGGACTTCTTCAAGAGCCTAATGATTTCAATGATACGCTCGAAAATGAATGTGAGAAAGCATCAGCAGAAATTGAGCGCCTCAAAAAAGAATATCCCGAATCAGATGACATTAAGATATCTTCCATGCAAGAAGCTATAAAAAATCTAAAGAAATTAGAAATAGAATTCAACCTCATAGGTGTAGAACTTATTAATAGAGTAGTTAATGATCTTAATAAATACAAAGACAAACTCGAAGATGAATATAATGGAATGTTGACGGAAGGAGACAAGCATTAATAGGTGTCGTTGAGGTTCTTGAATATTAATCGTGGCCACTGGAATAATCATAGACGAGAGATTATGCAAAAAAATTTATTAGTTAATAAAGAGTTATTTAATAAAGAGTTTTATTTGCAAAATAAAAAGAGATTAATTTATTTCCACTGATTTGCTAAAAAAAACAGACAGTGCGTCCGCGAAGTAATCTTGTTTCGCCCATCACTCTGGAAATTCCGTGCGCGTCCCAAAACCTATTAAAAATGTCGCACCTGTGGCAAATGTAAACAAGAATTTGATTTAAACGATCCTTGCGACGTAAACGATTGTAACCGTCACGTTCGGATCACACAATACATAATTGGAACAGACATACTAAATGGATAGCGTCGCGGAGAAGACACGCGAATGGAAAATCACTCCAAACAAAGCATGTTTGCAAATAGGTAAGGCGCAATGTGACGTGCATATTCGTTGCGTCTTAACCTATAAAAGCGATCAGCAACGCTCGAGCATTTCAGTGCTATGCTCTCGGTCTCTTTATGCCCGATCGTTCGTTTGCGCAAATTCTCATTTCTCGTGAACAACGAAGGATGATCGGAAATTGTTGGATATATCCCGTCTGAATTATTCACCCACAATTGCTCGAGCGTTGTTGATTATTCGACGACTTTTGTAAATTATAACGCGACGAGTATGCGCGTCAGTTTGCGCCTCGCTTATTTGCAAACGTGCTTTGTCTGGGGTAATTTTCCACTCGCATATCTTCCCCGCGATACGGTGGTAATCGTTGGTACGTTTGCTCCAATTATATGTTGCGTGATCCAAACAGTTACAGTCGTTTACATTGCAACGACTGTTTAAATCAAATTATTGTTTACAACTACTACGCCAGAAGCGCGACTTTTTTAACGGACGTTTTGGAAAGCGCGCGGAACTTTCCGCCAGGGCGACAAGCGGAGCGAGATCGTCTCGCAAACGCACCGTTTTTTTTTTTGAGCAAATCAATAGAAATAAATTAATCTCTTTATTTGCAAAATAAACTCTTTAACCAATAAACTTTTTTTATATAATCTCTCATTATTCCAATGACTGCGGTTAATACTCAGGAGTCTTAATGACACCTACTAATGCTGGTCTTCTTCTGCCGATGCTCTCTTACATTCATCTTCGAGTGCGTCTTTATCTTCATTAAGCTTATTAATCATTAATTTAACAAATTCTATACGGAAGAGGATGCGTTCTATTTCTAATTTCTGTAGATTTTTTATAGCTTCTCGAATGAAAGATATGTCATCTGGTTCGGGGTTGAGCAGATCGATTTTTGCCAATGCTCTTTTATATTCATCATTGACCATGTCAATGAAATTATTAGGCATTTCAAGAATTCCTATATTAATAAGCTGTAATTCTATTCTTAATTTCTTGAAAATTTCTACAGCTTCTTCTATGGGAGATACATTAGTGTTTTGTATCTTCTCTTCTATTATTGTAATGAAATGCTGCTTTTGGCAGAAAAATGCAGAAGGTACATATAATAACCTGCAATATATATATTTTTATTATTCACATATGGAGGAAAAATTCAAATAATTATAATTATACTTAAAGAAAATTGCAAACAATTTATTTTCTAAGAGAGAATTAAATTTGAAATCTTTTAAGAAATGTTTTATATATTAAAATAAAACCGATGTTACATTTCGAAATTAACATATTGAAATTGTGTATTCTACATTTAAATTATTTAAAAAATATATTTCACTAAGTAGTAATAAAAAAAGCATTGTTATCATCGTTACCTTCTTGATTTTTGCTGCAAAACTGCGGAAATTTCCGAAAATTTTGGCTTTTTATTTTGGCCAACTATTTTTAATTGCTTGCCACTGTAAAAAAAAATTAAATAGCAAATATTCTATGACGTTAATTAATTGGAATCACGCTTCTAGCACTAGAAAACAGAACAGAACAGGTAACACGCGATTAACCTTGAAATGCCGATTCGATAATATGATCTTGTATCAAGCGTTTATTTGCGAATCGCGATGAAAGTGTCAAATTACCTGCGTAATTCATTTTGATTAATCTGATACAAATTCTGTATCGTCACACGACTAAATCGCAGTACTGTCCGCACGATCGATGCCATAGTTTACACCGGTGATCTCTAGGAATGGATGATAAAATTAGAAAACGAAACTTGTCAGTAGTAGTCGCGAATATAAACAATTGAGATAGAATGTCGAAGAAGGTAATGTATCACGATTAATATTGTTTAACGAATCGCGTTTTCGCGCAAGCACATTCAATCTTTGAACATTCATGAATTTCATGAATTTTGTTTTAATTGAATATGTAAAATATTTAATTATTAATAACATTCGTGAGTCATCTTATAATTTAACTTTTATAATTATATTTTTATTATCCTTTCTAAAAGAGGCATGTTAAATTGATACTTGCATTTCTCGAAATTTTCGAAATTTATTGACGCTTTTCCGCGATGCTGATTGGTTCGAGTGAGTCACGTTAGCGCACAGTGCGATAGCACATATCAGCCGCTGCTTAGGAATTTTCCAATGAACCACCAATCAGAAAATTTTATATTAATTGGCCAATCAGCGTTGTGCTATCAGATTCCTCTCGTAACATCAGTGTGTGCTAACTGGAAAACAGTGCTTTTACGTCATTCTATCTTTAGTGTTCATTAGTGTCGGTCCACAATAGGTGATTTAAACTTTAAGAAGTAAGAAATTGACCAATTATATTAATATAATATTAATATAATATAATATTATATTAATAATTATAATCGAATATGAAAAGAATAATCGACTATGATTGGTCAATTTCTTACGACGTAAAGATTAAATACTTATTGTGGACCGACACTTAGATGTAAAACAAGGATAAAATAACGCCAATATTGCTTTGAGCGTGAATTGGACCGCGGATTGTTAATCTCACAGCGAGGATTGTTTTGACAATTGTGTATCAAGAAAGTTAAAAATATTATAGTGTAACAGTAATATAATAGTATGATATTAATTTTTGCTCTTGTCTTGAAAAAATTGTAAAAATTGTAAAAAATTTGCGCGCAGTACGCTTTTGAATGTCTAATTAAATATTTTACACATCATTCTCTTATATTTTCAATTGAAACAGCATTCACGAATGTTTTTGGTCGAATGTTTAAGTCGAGTGTGTAACTTGAAACAAAATGGGATTTACAAAAGCAAGAAAATTCTCTAGAGTATCTGCAATTTTATGGGGTCGATCATATAACTTTCTCCCTAGGGCGGAAACATGAAAAGTGAAAAGTTTCACGTGAATTTATGATCATGTACGATTTTTCATGTAACTCTTTCAAATGTGAAAATGTGAAATTTTTCACGTGAACTTTTTCGCCGTGTACCTTGATGGCGGAAAGGCGGAAATTTAGGGAATTAATAAATATGCTTTGGAATTAGAGAAGATTAGGGCTGCGTTAGAATTAACGCAATGTACGTAGTACATATACAATTGGTTATTAAAAGATGTATATAATATTGTACCAATAAAATAATTTTTATTAGCTATATAAAACCTATGAAACTATGTTTCATGATTTCACTTTCCACGCATCCAAGCTACATACATAATCGCTTTACGTGGAAAGTTTCACGTGAAATGTTAAGGTGTGAAAAATGAAAAATAAAAAGTGAAAAATTTCACGTTAAATTACATGATTGATCTCCATTGAAAGTTAATAAATTTCCTCACTTTTGTAACTTTCACCTTGTTTCAAGATACACAATTGATTCCCAGAGTTTGAATGCGCATGCGCGAAAACGCGATTCGTCAAATAGTACTAATCGTAATACCTTACCTTCTTCGATATTCTATGATCTCAATTGTTTATATTCACGATTGTTACTGATCGCTACATTTCGTCATCTGGATTTCATCATCCATACCTCGAGATTGCCGGAGTAAACCATGGCGTCGATCGTGCCGACAGTGCTGCGATTTAGTCGTGTTACGATAGAGAATTTATATGAAATTAATCAAAATGGATTACGCAGGTAATTCTTTTTTCACATTCCTCGCGATTCGCGAATAAACGCTTGATACAAGATCATATTGTCGAATCGATATTTCGAGGTTAATCGCGCGCTACCTATTCTGTTTTCTAGTGTTAGAAGCACGATTCTCATTAATTAACGCTGTAGAATATTTGCTATTTAATTTTTTTTACAGTGGCAAGCAACTAAAAGTAGTACGCCATAGAAATTCCAAATTTTTGGAAATTTCCGCAGTTTCGCAGCACAAGTCAAGAAGATAACGCTGATAACAATCATAATGTTCTTTTCATTACTACTTATTACATTTTTTAAATAATTTAAATATAATAAATACAATTTCAATATGTTAATTTCGAAACGTAATATAAATTTTATTTTAATATGTAAAATATTTCTTAAAAGATTTCAAATTTAATTTTGTCTTAGAAAATAAATTGTTTGCAATTTTTTTTAAATATAATTATTAGATTTTTTACTTTATATTTAAATAATAAAAATACATATGTTTAAATATATTTGCAGGTTACCATATGTATTTTCCTGGCAAAAAAAGCATTTCAGTACAACGGAAAAGAAGAAACCGGAAGAGACTATTGTACCTTCCATGCAAGAAGTTATAGAAAATGAAAAGAAATTAAAAACAGAAATTGACCTCTTAAAGAAAGAAAATGCCGAGCTTAAAGAATCCAGAGACATATTTGAGGATAAATATAAGAGAGCATTAGCAGAAGGAGAAAATATTAGAGTTAGGCTTACTAAGCAGATTAACGATGCCAAACTGTTTGCTATACAAGGCTTCTGCAAAGATTTATTAGATGTAGCCGATGTTTTAGGAAAAGCTGTTGAAAGTGTTCCAAAGAATGAAATTACAGATAAGAATCCACATTTGAAAAGTTTATATGAAGGCTTAATTATGACACAAGCGCAATTACATAATGTAAGATGTGTTCTGATCTCCTTTGATATAGAAAGTACATGTATATAAATAATTTAAGGAAGTATTTTTTTCTTTCTGATATAGGTTTTCAAGAAGCATGGCCTAATTTCATTGAATCCAATAAATGAAAAGTTTGATCCTAACGAACACGAAGCATTATTTCAACAAGAAGTAGATGGGAAAGATGCTGGAACGATTGTAGTTGTGTCAAAAATAGGATATAAATTGCACGAAAGAATAGTGAGACCAGCATTAGTTGGTGTCGTTAAGGGATAATTAAATGTAAAGGTAGATAGGACATCCATTCTGTAATAAATTGTTAAATTACACAAAGTTTAATATAAAATACTTGTGTACATTATAAATTTCCTTGTAAGTTTTTATTTATGATAGAAGGAAATTTGTTAATATAAATTGTATAAGAAAATTAGCAAAAAATATAGATTCATTCTTCACTTTCATATAAAAATATTCACACGACATTGTTATATAGATTCTTTTTTAAAATATGTAATTGGATTCTAGGATCTCTTCTTTCTCTTTCGGGAAGGTTATAGAGAAAAAACTTATAAAATGTCGCACAATTATTGATAAAAACAATATATTTCAATTATCTTCGGGGTCTATAACATCTTGATATAAAAAGATCAGTATCAAAAAATATGGCAAATAATTGTACACAATAATAAATATATTTAATAGTTTAATTTAATTATTACTTCACATATAAAATCATAAAAAAATAATGTTTTTGTATCTATAAAATCTATAAAGTAGCATAATTTAACATCTTTCGAATACTTTATACAAATCAGGTAAACTAGCTATTTGTAATATTGTTGAATCATGAGCAAAATGTTTTGGTGGAAGTAAACTTTCTTTAATTGCGGGATATAAAACATGTTCAGTTATATATTTCCAATCGTGTGTCTGATGCTTCGGATTAATGTAGCTGTAAAATTTTGCTGTTTCTCGACAGATATTTTGGAAGCAAAGTTGTTCCTTTCTCCATTCAACTTCCGTTGCTAGTCGCATTATATACAATGGAATTTCCGCTTCATATGGAAAATATTTATCTAAAATATTAACATACATGCAAATTATTCTTCTGATAATACAACAGTATATCCATTATTTTTGAATTGTATTTACCTAATAATACGGGTAATGATCTTAAGTTTCCTACTTTATCCATAACAATAGAAAAATATTCATTCATCATGTCTGCCTTCTCTAAAAGTAGCTCCTTTACTCTCGCCGCCAATTCCTCTTTTGGTCCGTCCTCTTCTGTCCATCCAGTTTCTCCCGAGTCTAAAGCAATCATTGCTAAATCAAACAGTGATATTCGCTCCTAGAAAATAAATTCAATTCGTTAGACGTAAAATAAATTTAATCTGCTGTATCTGAAATACATACTGAAAATTTGATGACAGCAAAATTTGCAAAATCGTAAAGCATGATCTCATAAAAAAGTTCCTCTCTGAAAAAAAAAATATGTTCTATTCTATAATTCTATAAATTATTAATAGTTAAATTATCTTGCATATCTCAAGCATATTTTTATATATTATATAAATATAAATATATAAATAAAATATCTTACGCTAATTTTCTCGTATTGCATATATACAAATTCACTCCGCTTTGTATTAGAGCTGAAGTTTGATCGATGCAACCAACGAATATCAAGTTAGCCAGAATGTTTCTCAATCCTTCGTGACATTCATCTTCAACTTCCTTACGTAATTTCAATATACTGGTTAACTTCACTTCGTGTCTAAAGTTATTTACAGAGTAAGACTTAAATTGGTTTGTAGACTTTGGAGACTCATCCGTAAAAGCGTTTCCCTCAGCTGAAAGTATTTCTTCAGATTGACTTGTGTTGGGTACTGAATTTTCCTCCTCTTTCTCGTTATCATCTGGTGTCTGCTCTTTCTCTTTTTCCGAATTTTTCTGTGTATTTTCAATAATGTCCCTATTTCCAAAATACTTATACACTTGCTTACGGGCTCTATCGGCTATAACATCTACAGGTTTATCTTCCGTAGGGTCATCCACTATGTCATCCAAGTCTGATAGAAATTCTGAGATATCGTACGTAATGTTCTCTGAACGAATATTTTCTTTTTGCATGGAACTACTTGGATCGCATGTATTTTGCGAGTCTGATGAAGCCAAAGTTGTAGTATTTATTATATCGCTCCAATGTGTTGAACCAGCATCGATTGAAGTCTTTTCTACATGTATTGTAAAATCATGTTTTGTGGTATCTACATTCAAGTTCATGTCTTTCTCTTGATGTTTATCGTCAACCGATGGGTTTTCTATAATAACGTCAGGTATATCTTTTTCTAAACTATGTATTGATTTTTCTATCAAAGTGTTACTATCACTATCACGTTGTTGAACAGCAGAATGTATAGTAAAGTTAAATTTATCAAGTTTCTGATCAGACGAATCTGTCCTAACCATCTCTTTAGCATAGACTTTCTTTGCTTTATCTATATTCCCTTTGTTATAGTCAGGCAATACTTCCTCCAGGACTTCTTTTGTAATGTCCACTTTCGGTAATCTGGCTTGCAAGTAAAACGTCCTGGACGCACTGTTACCGGTCAGTCTTTCGTCCAAGGCGAATTTCATTCTTTCGATTATTACGTCTTCGTGAAGAAATCGGACCTCGTGTTTTGTCGGGTGTACATTAACATCAATATTTTGCGGGTTAATATCCAAAGATATATAACACCACGGATGGGCCTTTTTCGGAAGATATACAGAGTACACTTCTTCTAACATCTTACGGATCGCTAGAAGTAAATGTCGAAATGTTAATAAAAGGATTGAAATAACTCAGAATCATGCATATTAAACTTACAATTGGAATCGACTAATCGATTATTGATAAACAGCAACATCACCATTCGTTTGTTTGTATAATTCGGATTCGTCACTAAACCGTGCATCTTAAATTTATAATCCTTATCATCGAGCTCAACTTCCAATAGTTCTCGAGCAACTGGGTTGCCATATAATATTCTTATATTACTTTGTTTTGTTGAATTATGCGGCGTTCGGAGCTATAAATTTAATTGATCAAGATCTGGAGTATCTTTAAATATTCCGTTTTTAAATGTAGACGATATGTATTTATCATTTTACCTGTGGGCTTGGCTCGCCATGTTTTTTCAATGTAAATCCTACCGTTGGATTGTGCACAGCATATCTCATAACCACTTCTGTGATCTTGGTAAACTCTTCTGATGGATTGGACAAAGCCTTTCTACGTGTCGCCACATTGTAGAACAAATTCTCTATAGTTATTACAGTACCTTGATTTCCAGCGCAAGGTACTGGAGGTGCTTTCAGTTTACTGTTAATATATGATGCCCTATAACATTGTACAACAGATGTAGCTTAGTTGATCTATATGAAAAAGAACAAAAGGCTATATTTTTTTCTTTCATAATAGACTTTCTTAATTAAATTTGCATACTTATAAGCGCATTTTTCATCTGCTGTTTTCGTCGTGATAGCAAGAAGGGCTATGTGACTGATGCTGGCTAGAGCTTCACCTCGAAATCCAAATGTTGTAAGAGCATTGAGATCCTCGAACTTTTGCAACTTGCTTGTAGTGAATCTCTCGCATACAATATCCATGTCTTCTTTCCGGATACCAGTACCATTATCCTGTATCTGTAATTAAAAGTCAGAATTATAATATATATAATTTAGATGAATATATCTCATTATTGAATATCCTGCTATAAACCTGTAGTAGCTTCAAGCCTCCTTCTTTTGTAGTGATTTGTATGTTTGTCGCTTTAGCATCCAAACTACGACATAAAAGTGAATTAAATTTAAACAATGTGCACAATGCATCATAATGGATCTCAATGTTTCTTGGAAATACTAACCTATTCTCTATTAATTCCTTTAACGCGTTTGCTGGCCTTTGGATTATCTCTCCAGCCGCGATTCTGTTCACCACAATTTCGTCTAATTTTCTAATCTTCGCTGGTGTACACATGTTGCTCGGAATTGTTATTAATTTTTCATCTAGAGAAAATGATAAGTAGCTTTAACATCTATTGTTGGACGAAAACATATGAAGAAGCTGAAACATTCTAAGAATATAATTCGATTTTATACATATAAATTGATGATCTAATTAAAAGAATGATACGAAAAGTCTTACATTCGGTGACTTTTTTAAAAAATTCTTGGACAAATTTTCGACGAAAGCTGCTTTGCTGGCGCCAATTTTTAAATAATAGGTTAGGTTGCACATCAACAAATATATCTGAAATAACTACGCTCGATAAGTTTCTTCATGTCGGTTTCCATTTATGGACGTTACTTTATCGACATTGAACTATTTTTGCCGCAATTTAAAATCAGAAATTGCTAAACTATTAGGAAAACATAAATAGATAAGAATTAATCTTTTATTTTTCTTTTTTCTTCTTTTTAATTGTTTTTTGCATTATGTTTCATATTATTTTACACTTATTGTACATATTACAAATATGTTTATAATATAGTCGACAAAAACAAAGAAGAAATATATGAAAGGAAAAAGATGCAATTATATAACGTTTAAAAAATGGAAATTTCTCGTATTATTTTTTTATATCTCAAGTATGTTTCTTTTTTATGATGATCGGTTTCGAAATCTAGATATAAAATATTTTGTTACGCACGAAAATATTAGCCTTCAACGATCGACACTTTAGAGACCTTTAATACCGAGATAAATCGTCATTAAATATTCTTTCGGTGTTGTTATTAATGTTGTTCATTTTATTTACTGCACAATTATATTTTGTCTTTAATATACAATGCAGGATTAAAATCAAGTAATACGAGAGCGTGAGATTTAATGCATTATTTAATATAAAAATAATACGAACAAAGGAATAAAAATTCGTATGTAACAAAACAAAATTATAAATTCATGTTTACATATTTATATATAAATGTATCGTATATCGATATATAAATTAATATTGATATTGATAGTTAACGCAATTTTTTTTTATAATTTATATTAATTATATACATATTAATTACGTACAGACGAGGCTCGCCATACGCAGGTCTATGCATTGTGATGCGATTGTGCGCGGGTCAAGGTGTTCGAGTGAAAGTACGAAATATCAGCAACCGCTGAATAAATCTTCTATAAGAAGCTGGGCGGACGTTCGCGTAGAATTATTGCGGCAAACGTGCGATTACGCGGTGGTACAATGCAGACGCTATCGCTCTTGATGCATCTGATAACCGTAACAATTTCCTTCTTATCCCGAAACGCCATGTTGTCGCGGTCATATCGCGCTCATACATCTCGCGAATCTAAGGGCTCAAGAACATTGACAGAAATAAGGGACAAGGAATTAAACAAGAATTCAATTTCAACGTGTCAGAAAATCAACCTTCGATACACAGTCAAAGAATACCATGATACCGATTTTTATACCGAAGTAATTTTTTGTTACTTTTTTTATATCTGAAGCGCGAATTCTTGTTTTGCGTTGTTTCCAACTTTTGCGTAACTTTCAGTTATAATTATTATAAATATTAAACATTAATATACAGTAATCGCAATAATTATTAATATATATTATTTATTATTATCATTATAATTATTAATCACTATCTCCCATAGCCGCCGGAATGATCCTCTCGATAGGAATCGATGGAAGGAGAGAGAGAGAGAGAGAGAGAGAGGGAGGGGAGGGAGA